TGTGTGTGTGTGTGTGTGTGTGTGTGTGTGTGTGTGTGTGTGTGTGTTTGTGTGTGTGTTTCGATATAATCGTTTTACACTCATAATACAATTTGCTGTACATTTTTAATACCTTATTCAAAGTGTTGTGTAATAATATGTTGGCCGCACCTTTGTCGTATTGCCTATCTGCAAATACAGTGTAGGCACTTGGTCATATGCTAAAGTTTTGTTTTTTTAACACAATTCTCTCACCGAGGGGAGCTCACACAAGTTGTATAACTGTTCAGTACAAAACCCCATCTTAAAATACGTGACCTTAATCAAGCTGCGTTGAGCACGTTCTACATCAAGAAACCTCGTTTTCGCCGCACCTCCCCAGACAGGTTAAGATGTTTACACTAAATATTGTACAACTATTGTACATGGTACTGAGAAATGTCCAGTTTCATTTAATATTAAATAAATCATTATAGAATATCACAAGTTACTTTAAAATCTAAAACAATTTATTTCTTGTCCACAGAAATACTTCTATAGTCTCTCTGACGAAAAAAAAGGGGCATTCAAGCCATGCTGTGCACCAACAACGTTCAGGTCACTCCAGCTACTGTACATGGAGTCAAACGACACTGTGACACAAAAGACATTGCCTAATATGGTAGTGGAATCTTGCGGTTGTATGTGACAGAAAGAATCAAATCCGCCTTCTTTCTTGTGTTATATTGCGACTTATTTCCTGCACGAGTTTTGTAAAGTGTTAAGATAAGGAAGATTTGTTTGCAAAACTTTCTGTGCTGAAAATGCAAAAATCTAAAACAATTTTGGTGAAAAAAGCTTTTCTAGTTTACCTGTAAATAGGGTTGCTATAAGTAAATAATTAATTAACAACTTACTTATTATAAGCTACTTGCTTAAGTTTGTGATATTCATAGTAAAATTATAAACGAAAATTATTTTAAGTACGGTGTCGTTCCATGCTTTTAGTTTTCTAACTAAAGATTTAAAAAGTTTGCTGCAAAGCATTTGTTTAACCATCAATGCCACAAAGTGTAATTTCAAGTTTTCAAACGATAAATTAAAATTCGAGCAGATCGTAGCCTTAGTCTAATAAACTCACATCTGTAAAATGGGAACATTTCAGAACAGCGGTAGTATCGACTAATCGTTTTTATGCGTGAATAGGAGAGTTAAAAATTTCACATGACAACATGCTTCATGTAAGAAAAGCACTTTTCGATACCTCCAATGAACACTATACCAACTTAATTTTTGCACCTGATCTGTTTTTATTTTGTTTTTTGTTCCTTTATTTTTTTCACAAAATTCGGTAACGTATCACAAAGTGGAATTTTTTTCCGAAATAACGATTGTGCGAATTTTCATTACACCGAAAACCGAATTATAACGAAACCATTCTTTCAGGATATGTTGAGTGTTTATCGCAAAGACACGATTAGGTTCGGTTAAGTTAGGTTTAAAAGAAAAAACATTTTCCTCTCAAAATTACTTTCAAGGTTATGAAAATTCGTGCAGACGTTATTTCTGGAAAATGACATTTCGAACTACTGAAAAGAAAAGGTAATCACAAAATTGGTAGATAAGATCATTAATATTAGTAAATAAATATGGTTGTTTACAAAAATAACAGAAAATGACCTTTTGCTCGCTTTATTTTTTAATGAAATTGGCGTAGAGGTCATTGGAGGGATCATTTTACACCATACATGGTCTTTTGATTTTGACGACCGCGGTGGTCAGTGACTTGCACACCGGCTTAAATTTCTCACGTCTCCTTCTAAAGTTGGCGTTTTTTCCTTTTACCCCTTTTCACTAGAGCCAGAAAAAACATTTTCAAACCGTAATTTAGTATTGTGCGGCATATTGTGTCTTGTTCACAGATCTAAATTTAATCACTCAAACTTGAAATTAAATTCATTAATTAAAGTAATTACTGTATTTGGTCTCTCTACTTTTTGCCGCAGCGCCATCTATAAGAAATATGACAGCTTTTCTTCACTCAGCCAAATACCTTTTTGCAGCGGTCGACTAGAGAAGTCGCGTGATATTAAGTTTATTGTATAGATATCACGATGCCTCACTATCATGGTATTCAATTATTTTTCGATGGAGGATATAGTGATGGTGTTGGTTCGAAGTGGAGTAATTTGCCAAAGAAATATATTACTGTGATACCAAGGACGAACGAGTCGAGCGCCTGGTGAAAAACCTGTCCATAACAGTTGCAAAGATCTGAAGGGCACTGCCACTGCACCCTGAGACATAAGTTGACAAATCCAAGGGTCTGTAATTTCATCAGCACTTTTATCCTTCCAAACCGGAACATAGTAAGGTGGCAGTACTTCCCTGGACGAATTCTTTCACAAGGAACTCTACTGCTATATAATTGAATATCGTGATATGCAATAAACTTAATACTATGAAGTAATTACTTAATTATTTTGTTGTGATTATGTAATTGTAGAGTTAATATTCATTGCATTTATCTTATTTATTATTAATAGAGAATATGTTTTAATAAAATTTTAATATGTACAAAATAGGGAGAGGAAAACATAATTTATTTGAATCATTTCGTATTTTTTTCTTCAAATTTTAAATCATTCAAATAATTTTAATTACGTTTTCTCTCCAACAGTTACATATTGAAATTTGTTTTGTATTTACGTCAATTATTGTAAAATTAAGTATGATAAATTATCAAACCCATTGATTTATAAATAGTGTTTAGATACGTATTTAGTTAAGTCTCCTATAATTTTCTACTTAAACTCAAATAGTTAATTACAATTGAATTTCACAACTATGTACTCCTTGTATCTACTTAGTGAAAATAAAGAGCACACCCACGGTCCATGTAAACGATTATATTTTGGTTAAAGTCCTGCCAAACTCAATGATTCGCCGTGGTTTGTCAATTTCGTGTCAAATCATATTTAATTTCAAAATAACACAGGCTCACTCATGTAATTTGTATTTTTTTAAATTAGTTTTTTAATTACGCGGGTTCAAAAACTTTATGCAAATTTTTCATTTATTTATTTATTTATTTAAAAGTGCATTACATGTGTTGTCGTCATAGAAATGTACTTAAGAATATACTTATACATTTACATACACATGAACCTTGACAGGCATCGCAACTTGGTTATGGGTTTCAACATTTACAACCATTGACTTACAATTATATGGACGTCGGGTCCGCGCTAAAAAGTGTCCGCACTTGTAAGGCGCTAAAATCGTATACAGAGCGCGACACTCCGCTTTAGTCTTCATTTGTTCTACGGACAGCGCGATACTGCGATGACATAACAATTTAAATTTCGAATAGGTTGACTTGGGACATTTTTTTTCGTGGTTTTTGTATTAGACCCGGCGTCCATTTATTTGTAAGTCAATGTTTACAACGTATTTTTGTAGATTTAGAAAAGTCATTACTTTATAAATAATAATGATTTTTCCCATTTTAAATGACTATTAAAAACCTAAGCCTACCGGACTGAATGATTTGTGGGTTGAATCCTCCTGAAGAACCCTTAGCAATATTTTCTAGATCTGTCTTTGAATTATATGCGAAATTAATAGAGCTTAATCAAAGCTTCTTTTGAAACAAATTCCAGAAGTTCTATAAATTTTACGTCTTCGAAAATTTACGTTCAAATGCATGAACTTAAGAAACTGAGTCGCGGCACCCCAGTATTCCCTCTGGACGGGGGTAACCAAGTCCGAATAAGTCTCTGGAAGGAGAGATACCCCACGGCACCACTCATTCCGCTGGGGCATGATCTACCTTGGCAAACTTGGAAGTTTCTGAACAAACACAGGTGGGGCAATAGCTAAGTGGTATCTCGCCACTGTCAATGGCACGTCTTTGGTGCCACCTGACTTAACCATCGGCGGATATAAAGTCTGTAGTTTTGCGGCGGCCTTAAAAGAAACATAGGGGAAGTAAAATAATTTGTAAATATAAATAGGCTTTATTAAAGAACTAGGGACACTGTTCAATATGTATTTATTGAATTGTACTTAAAGTAGTTCGATAATTTTTTATATAATATAAAGAATTGTATCATTTTTTAACAGTGACTTAGTATTATACCAAATAAGAATAGAGATACCTTTAAATGAAATAAAAATATGTAATTATACAGTTTTCCTTTTATTTTTCAATTATCTGACATTGAATTGTGGACCGGTAAAGGTCCTGTAATCTCGTTCTCTGTCCGACAGCCGTCCGAAATAATTACTGTCAAATAAGCAGGGATCGGAATAGGTACAGTTTTTTTATATAAAATTCAAGGAACATAGACAGAAAGTGGAGACTGCCTTACGACAATATTATTTAGGCCCTGAACCTGTTAGTACATTAAAAATTTATGTAATTGGCGACAGGCAGGTACACTACATTTATCTTGACTTTGTGACACTGTGGGTCGGATCAGCGATATCGCGGACATTGGATTTTTTCACGATACATCTCCTAAAAATGCCAATCGAGAGGTCCTTTTGTCCTAATTAAATATTGTTATATCACATTTTGCCATAAATGTAATAGTTTAGTAGGAAAAAAACAAAATGTGTATTTTTTGTATACCATATCTTTAGTGCCCCATCGTTACAATGTCTTAGTCGATCCCGTCTTGGAATCACTACAGACGTGTTATTAGGCCTATTTTCTATAGATTTGGATACTAAACGCGCGCCTAAACCTGCCTATTCACTACTTATACGTGTTAGAAAATTGCTGCTCGTGCCCCATTGTTACAAAGTCTTAGTCTATACAGTCTTGGAATCACTACAGACGTATTATTAGTAGATGCGATTTCAGGTAAGAAAACTATACTTACTCCGATGCCTGCAAATAAGTAATACTCAACCTAATTATAAGACGCATGATGCAAATGAAGCTTCATATACATACATTGGCTTTTAATTTTGTTAGGGTATTAACGAGAGTAGTCCCTCCATGTGAATGCAATAATAATGAGCACAAGTTATTGCAGTAAAAGAGTGGGAAGTACTACCAGCTTACCTATTTCTGTCCCCAAGCAGTAATGTGCATTGCTGCGTTGTGGTTTAAAAGGGTAAGGGTGCTGGTAAAATTACAGTCACGTGAGACTTGTCAACTTATGTCTCAGGGTGACAGACGCAGTGGCAGTGTCCCTCAGATCTTTGCGATTTAAAGCTCTGAGTGGCACTGCAACTGCTGTGGATAGGCTTAACCACGCCCACGACTTGTTCGTCCCGTCCTCAAAACATCTAAATAACTAATTTACTAAATGTGCCCTAAATGTTTGTGTAGTATATACGCAAAATAAGATTTTTCTACTCCTGCACTTTTTTCTGTCAATTAAAATTGACCATATCACAAAGACTATGGTACTCGCTGTTGAACTAAAATAGTACATTGACATATCGACTCATCCGGAGAACAGAGTCCGATGTGATTATATAGCGAAAAGAGAATAAATACGTTACGAGAATAATTTCCTTATTCAAAGTAAGGCCTACGTAATACGTTGAGAATTTATATATCTTATTTCATTTCGGAAATATAAAATCTAACAACGGTCGATCTGACATCCACAGCGAAGAAGAACGAACGAAATGTACTATGTCCTGAGAACAAGTAGTCTTGCACATAGGTCTTTGTTCTACGGATGAGTCGATATATTGGCCTATTTTCTTCTCATTATCGAACATGGCTGTAATATAATGAGAAGAAAAATTCCCGAGGGTTTTATTTGGGACATTATAGTCAAGTTAGCCTTCGTGCAATCATAGTATTTATGTGCAAGTACAATTCATTCTACTTCTGTACACAGAATTGTAATGAGTTTCAAAAAAATAACGTCGTGTTTTTATTAATTATAATATCCAAATATGACTGTATTCCTTCTCAAACCCTCTGCCTCCTGGTTGGTTAAATTGGCCTAAAGCTCTTGCAACCGGGTCATAAACCTTTTTAGATAAAATGATTAGGTAAAATATAAGCCGTATTTAACCACTTCTATTCTATATTTTTGGTTTTTTGTTTCGAAGCGTTGCTTTCTTTTAAGTTTATTGCCATGACTTGTTAACAAAGTACCTATACATTGTGTTTCGTTATTTCATTTACTCATACAAAAAGTATGGTATGCAATCATTCATAATTAGGTCTTAAAATCGCGTGCCTTATTCCAGCGTGACCATGATTAAGTTTTTGAAATTTGACTAGCCAGAAAGTCGCTTTTTAATTGGTTCTAGTCGTAAAAACTAGCGGTCCGCTGTTCAAAAGTTATAAGGGTGTTTTAGTGTTCACGCTCAAATAAGCTTATTCCA